ATATATATATATATACATACATTAAATTATTCCTTATTCTCTTGATCCTTTCTCTTCTCTAGCCAACCATAAAACTTATCCCATATTTTATAATAGTCCGATTCATCCTTATTTTTTAATTCCTTTGTCAATTATATATATACACCAACCAGCTAAACACCTCATGAAACTAGCAGAACACTGCTTAACCAACACATATTTCATATACAAAGGACAAAGATACAAGCAAATTGAAGGAGCCTCTCTGGGATCACCACTGTCACCCGTCATTGCAAACCTGTTCATGGAAGAATTCGAATCCAGAGCCCTGGCTAACACCACCCACAAACCCAAACTATGGTTAAGATACATCGATGACACATTTGTGATTTGGCCCCATGGAAAAGAAAACCTAAACAATTTCCTAACACACCTAAACAGCACACAATAAAAAAAAATCAAGTTCACCCTGGAAGCGGAAACAAACAAACAACTACCATTCCTAGATGTACTAATCTACAAAAAAACAGATGGCACACTAGGACACACCATATATCAGAAGAAAACACACACCAACCGCTACCTCAACGCCCAATCCCACCACCACCCAGCACAGATAAACTCCGTGGCCAAAACACTAATCACCAGAACCAAACGCCTGGCAGACAAGACACACATAAAGACTGAACTATGCACCCTGACTAAAGTACTGACAGCCAACAGCTTCCACAAAAGCAAAATCACCGGCTTGATCCACAAAAACACACTGAGACATAATGGAGACCTAGAAGATGAACAGACCTATGGAACAGCTGTCCTGCCCTACATAAGAGGTACTACAGACAAAATCAGTAAGATACTACACAGGCATCACATCAAGACTGCCTTCAAAACAGACAGAAAAATAGCAGCCATCCTCAGAAACCCCAAGACAAAATTGACCTGGAAAACCAAGGCATATACGAAGTCCCCTGCGCATCATGCCCGGCCACATACATTGGACAGACCAATAGAAGAATAAGTACCCGCCTGGATGAACACAAAAATGCAGTAAAAAAGCTGGAACACACTTCCTCACTAGTCCAACACATGAAAGCCACAGGTCATAGCATCAACTTCAATGGCACCAAAACCCTAGCCACTATAGAAAACCCCAGCCGCAGAATTATCAGAGAAGCCATAGAGATTGAAAAAAGACCTGAAAGCATGAATAGAAGAGATGATTCCACCAGACTGTCAATTATTTGGAAGCCTCAACTCACAAACAAAAAAATCTCCACACCACAAGCCAGGCAAACACCTGGGCACAAACAGATCCCCCCCTGATACCTCCAGCTCAAACACACCCCAACCAGGCACCCAGATGAAACCCAGCTTCCTAACTAATGATAGCCGTCCATTTACTCGGAGCCAAGACGCACTAAAAGCCTCCAATACAGGAAACACAATGTTGCCAGCCAATCAAGACAAAAAAAAGCTACAAAACAGACAGAAGATATTAGAAACACCAATCAAGCAGAACACAGCAAACTCCAAGACCAATAAACATAGACCAAGACTCCCAACCAATCAGGATGAAGAAAAAACCATTCTGGCACAGCAGTAGGCTAGCACCAAATTTAAAACTGAAACGGCTGTGAAAGTCTGACTCATAGACGAACACAATACAGAAGCCTGATGATGGCAGATGAGATTCTGCCGAAACGTTGCTACAACTTTAAAAGCACCACTACTATGACGTGGGAAAATACCCGAACAAAGCTGAATACCATAGATATAGATATAGATAGAATGAAAATATGTATTAGTACTATCTGACTTAGCAATGTAATGACAAAGATGTGGGTTAGGAGGATTGTACCACGTTCAATATTTTTTAAATGTATTCTTTGTTTTTTGTTTGTGTTTGTTTGTTCGTTTAATAAAGAAAAAAGAAGAAGAGGGAGTCAAGCTATTCTCCAAAGCCCCTGAAGGCAGGACAAGAAGCAGCAGGTGGAAACTAATCAAGGAGGGAAGCAACTTAGAACTAAGGAGACATTTCCTGACAGTCAGAACAATTAATCAGTGGAACTGCTTGCCTCCAGAAGTTGTGAATGCTCCAACATTGGAAGTTTTAAAAAAGATGTTGGATAACCATTTGTCTGAAATGGTGTAGGGTTTCCTGCCTAGGCAGGGGGTTGGACTAGAAGACCTCCAAGGTTTCTTCCAACTCTGCTATTCTATTCTAAATATTAGATGCACTTTGAAGCCTGGCTTGAAACTCCTGGTTCCCCAATTGTCAATCTTTGTGGACTTGTCTTTTACAGGGTTCACGGTGTAAATTTCTCCAAAACCCCTTTTTAGAAACTTATCCAGCCCAATCCGTCATTCATGGCTCCCAGCGAGGTCTAAAGCAGCAGGAATGTTTAAAAAAGAAGAAGAAGAGGAGGAGGAGGAAGGAAAAAGAAGTCTTCTGGCTGAAAACCATTGACAGGAAAGGCCAAACAGTTTCTAGCTGAAGCAAAAATAGAAGCAGGAATTTGGCAGGCACTGAGCAGCACCATTCGGTAAACAGGGGGAGCTACGGCTAATAATAACTGGGGAAGGGGTTGAAAGAGAACTCGCCACTCCAGCTGGACTGCTGTGAGCTGCAAGGATGGATGTGTGTCAAAACTGGCCACAATATTGGTGTAGCAAAGTGGGATTCTCGTCCATATTTCCTAACAAGCCTTAAAGCAAAAATACACCCGCACTTGGGGTTTGCAGTGACTCATCATTATAGATGCATGGAAATGCAGCCATTCCTTCTGCGCATTTTTCCCAGTGTCATCCACCCTCTGACTCTTTGTCAAATGTAACTGATTTATGTGACATCAAAGCTGTTTAGAGAAAAGCAAAAATTACCTCATGGGGCCTAATCTGCAAAGCTGCTATCCCCCCCCCCACCTCTCTTTTTTTACTAGTCCTCGTGATTTCAGAAATAAGGGTGGGGTGCTTTGCACTAAGCTCCTCCCTTTATAAAGATGTTTTCCCCTCTGAAATTCTTGGCCAGATACAGGCAGAGGCTGCTCGACTGTTCATAAGCTTGGATCTCAAACAACATCAGGTTCTTCGCCCTCTTCTCCCTGGATTTCTTTCACGGCAGCTGGTAAGTATTTTGGTCTCTTTGAGATGAGAATTTCCATGAGATAATGAAGTCCCAGCTTCCTATTTATCACAAATAGTCCTTGTTAGTGTATCCCGAAGATTTAAGTGGCATATTCTGCATTTGGGTGGGGTAGGCAGAGAGAAGCAATGCCCTTTTTTCCAAAGGAGGCTGCAGATTGCAGTGCAATTCATTAAGACATTCACGGGTACTACCTTGGTTTCTTCTAACAAAGTAGCAAATGGACGTGTAAGGAGATTTGCACTTTTCTTAGACAAGCATCTCTTCGCCTGTTTTCCCGATTTCCAGCTTTTCAATTAATTTTTCCTGAGGATAATCTCAATACAATGAACCCGCCCCAAATGCTTTTTCAAGCAGGAGGCTGGGGAATCTTCCGCTAATAGGGAAAATATATATATTTGATCACAAAGTAGCAAAAGGAATATATATATATATATGATAAAGCTTTCCCACAAAGCGGTTGGGAAGCAGAAGTTTATTTTTGTAAAAGCAAAGAAAGGAGAGAGAGAGAGAGAGGGAGAGAGATACTAAACTTTTAGTTAATTGCAAGCTCGATTTTGACATAGAGTTGTCAGATCTTTCTGCCCGTGTGTTCATGTCACCTAATGCAAAAATTAAATTTTGCCATTGAACTGCTGGGCTAAGAAAGTGAGCACCATTTCTTTAATAGGATTTGTTTATGAAGCAAAACTCACCAATTTGAGTGGCTGCCACTTACATTTGTTTTAGTTGGTGGTGGGGGGGTCTAAAGAGAATGGCTGACCCTTTTAACAGGTTTGCATTTTTAACAGGTTGGCTGAGAAAAGTGTTTTCCTTCAAGGCGAGGTTGTTGGGTTTTTTTGGAAACCTCCGTGCCTAACTCATCACCATGCAGCTTCTGCTGGGAGTTTTCTTCTTCTCCGTCCTCCTGGCTACAGGTACGATCAGGGCTGTCCCCGGGGTATGTGTGTGTGTGTGTGTGTGGGGGTTGTCTAAGGAGGATCCTCCATAACAGCCCCTTGGGGTGGGGGGATTTCCTATAGTAGAATTGCAAAAAGCCTTCAGAAATTCTCAAAGGTGGAATGCTTTGCTTGAAAAACAGCGGTTGTAGAGTCAGACTAGAGCAAGGTTTATTGAAACGTAGTCAAAAGAGAACTTACCAAACTCATGGTCCTTTCACCTAGCCAGGTTTGCTCTGGATTATCCATTAATCAAAATAAACACTAGGACGGTAAGGAAAAGGAGGTGCCACAGATGTTTTCCCCCTTATTTCTATATATCCACAACTATTTCATTGCCACACTGCACTTATACAATTCCTCCCCTCCCACTCATTGTCTTCATCCGCTGTTTCCCAATTGAAATTATGGTTAAGTCTGTTCCTACGTTGTGAAATTAAAGAGTTTTCATCACGTCTACTGGCTGTTCGTTGGATGCATTCTGCAAATGTTCTGTTCCTTTTGTTCTATGTAGTGGCTGTGGCAGTCATTACACTGGGTGTTATAGAATATAGATGACTCCTGTTTTTTTTCTTCTTGTTCTGGGGCTGCTGGGTCTTTTGGTTTATTTCTTGGCAGCTTTCTAGAATTGCATTATCATCATCGCCTTTCTCTGGGATGTTCTGATGGGAAACAGTCCAGCTAATCCCAGTTTAATGGCAATAAACAAAGAGATGAAGAGACCATTGTTACCCTCTTAATTGTGTGAGAACGGGTGTCCCTTCGAACAGGAAGCAAAAGCTATCACGCCAGTATTTTGTCATACTAACATCATCGTATCATCTTTCCTGTGGAACAATCAACAGTCAATTTAAGAAAGCAACAAGCTTCCTTCCTATTTCTAACTGGCTACTTTCCCCGGGAATTTTCACAGATTCCAAATGGAACAAAGGCAATTTGTTTTTGCTTTCTGTCAAACCTTCTTATTTATTTTTTCCCATCCCTGCCTAAAGTTAGTTGCGTGTACCTCCTCTGCCTCACAAGGCCTTCTGCCAAACCTCGTCTCTGGAAGAGTTCTTCATCTACTTCTAAGTTTTCCTTAATGTGACTTATGACTATTTTTCATGCTTACGACCAATGCAGCATCCTCACGATCACGGGGTCAAAATTCAGACGTCTGGCAACCGACTCATATTTATGAGTGTTGCAGTGTCCCAGGGTCAGATGGTCTGACCCGGGACACTTTAAGCTTCCTTCTGACAAGCAAAGTCATTGGGGAAGCCAGATTCACTTAACCACTGGGTGTTCTGACCCAAACTCTTTTCCAATAAAACCAACACAAACCAAAGGGAACAGAAACCTTTTAATGATTCTTACGAATCCCCAGTTAAAAGGCTGCTGCAAACTAATTAACTTTGATAAACACAAGCCTCGCCAAAACTGTGTGAGGCTTGCCAAAAATAACAGCTAAGAAATATTTTACAACACAAGAGTCTTCAAATACCAACTAAGATATTGCAATGTCCACGAGGCTGAGTTTCAAAACATTTTTGCTTCCTGCAAAGAAGGTTCGCTTCACAGCTGGCTTTTATCTTCTTGAAAGAGGGGCCATTACCTTGCAGCCTTACTCCTGAGTTGCCCGTGCTGCTGCAGCTGCTCTTTCCTATGAGCAGCCCTGCGCGCATGCGCACTTGGCACAGGCTCCTCGGGAAACTCCTCATTGCTGCTGCCAGCCCCCACAATCTCTGAGGACAGCAGTCCACTCTCTAATGGTCCTGGCCCCTCATCTGCATCCTCGCTCTCCTCAGCTGTCCGCACCTGCTGCCGGCTAACCACAACACTGGGTTACTAACTGTTCACTTAACAACCACGGCGAGAAAGGTTGTAAAAGGGGGCAAGGTTGACTTAAGAAATGTTGAGCAACAGAAATTTGGGGTCCAGCTGTGGTTGTGAGTCAAAGGCCACCTGTAATATTGGAAGCATTTTCTGCTTCCTTATCCCAGCCCTTTCTTAGTGCCTCATTTTTTCCTTCCTCTCCAGGCAGTGCCTTGACTTGTGAAATATGCACCTCACAAGGTTCAGATTGTACTGGTCATACGCAAGAGTGTAATTTTGACAATGCTGTCTGCATGACATTGACGACTGAATTAGGTGAGTAAGACAAGTTCTCTTTTCTTCCCAACAAGGGAATAAATAACGTGGATTTTGCAAGCTATATAAATCTTTTTTCTCTTGTCTTTGATTGTTCCCCACATTATATCCTCCTCAAAAGAACTGAGCCAAGGGTCTTCAAACTTGGCCAATTTAAGACTTGTGGACTTCAACTCCCAGAATCCCTGAGCTAACAGGACTGGAGGAGGAATTCTGGGAGTTGAAGTCCACAAGTCTTAAAGCTGTCCAGTTTGAAGACCTCTGAGCTGCCTTCACATAATTGTCCGAAGTGGGATCATTTGAGCCTGGTCATGTACAGTTGGTTTAGTGGCTGAAGTTACAGCGGTGCTGAAAAAAGGACCATTTTTCACATTTATGACCATTGCAGCATCCCCGTGGTCATGGGATCAAAATCCAGACACTTGGCAACTGACTCATATTTATGATGGTTGCAGCGTCCCGGGTTCCCGTGATCTCCTTTTGCGTCCTTCTGACAAGCAGAGTCAATTGGAGAAGCCAGAATTCACTTCACAACCATGGGGTTGTAACATGGGGCAAAACCGACTTAACAACTGTTTCACTTAGCAACATAAATTTTGGGCTCCATTGTGGTTATAAGTCAAGGACTGCCTGTAAGAGATTCCTGCCCTTGCAGAATCATGGGCTATTGATGAAACTATAGTTGGCTAACTAGATCCAACTTTCAGAGTATTGAATCAAAATCGCCTTACGTGTATGTATGGATGTGTGTGTGTCTCAGGGTTGGCATGTTGTTGCCATTGTTCTCCAAACTTTTTGGGGATGAAATATTGCAATAAAATGTCTGTAGCTCAAAATCTGATTGAAGGGAACGCCCAAAACAAATTGCTTTTATAGTCCGATCTGATATGCTTGAGGGTGCGTTCTTATTATCCACAAACAAAGATAATCGCCTATGTCACCCAATCGAACCCCATCCATTTTTGAATGCGTGGGACGAGGATGTTTCAATTAACCTGTAAGAACCATAGCCACTTCTGCTTTCAGCGAGGACAGATTTCCACCCAAAGGCCTTTTCCTGCACCGTTCAAACAATAGCACAAAATAACAACGGTAGCAAGAACAATTCTAAAATGGGACAAAAGTCATTTTTAACCGCTGTCTTACTCGGCGACATAAATGTTGGGGCTCAGTTGTGATTCTAAGTTGACTTACCTATATTTGAAACCTGTACTTGGCTGGAGGGGTTGGGGTTTCCTTTAAGTCGGAGTGACGGATCTGATCGCTGACATATTTCTGTTTCTCCAGGACCCCAGAAAATAACAACCACTGCCAAAAGTTGCAATACAAAAGATGCTTGCAAGGGATTGGAAGATTTGAAAGGAAAGGCTATCACTCAGCAAACATCCACTGTTCCAGTTGGAGCGATCATTAAACAAGCTATCTGCAGCAAAGCCCCTCCTTCCTTTGCATCCTTCTTCCCAGCAGTCCTTGGGCTCCTCCTGGTGAAGCTTCTCTTCTAAAGTTCTTCCTTCCACCCAAGAAGTTGTCCCCTTTTTCTTGGCCTATATATTCTCTCCAGCTGATCAGGCGGGATCTTCAATGTTATGCATAGGTCTCTATATTTTCCCAAACTGAAACCAGTCAAGTAGACAAATATATAATCAGCCAAATGGAAATTAGTTAAGCCGACAAATATATAATCAGCAGCCTTGAATGTGTGTTTGAAGAGGAAAAAAATGTATAATTCAAATACAGAAAACAATAAATAATAAACAATTGGATTCCATTCATGGCCCGATATTGTTTTTGTTTTTGTTTTAATTTGGAGGAGGAAAAAAAACATTCTCCATTCTACAGGGCTGGTTTGCCACGCCCTTCATCCAGATTTGATGTGATTTGTTTTTATTTATTTGTATATCAAATGTAGAAACTGCCCATCTCACCGAGATTTGATTTTTTCCCCAACTATTACATATTCTTTTATTGATCAACTGTTCATTTTATTCGGTTTGTGCCATCTGAATCCTGAAGGCATGCATCATTTTTCTTCTTTCCAGCTTAGTTGACAGCACTGCAGTTCCTCTAGTTGTCTGCTCTACAAGAAAGCTTCACGAACACATTTAAGGAATTGAGTTGACGCAAAGATTCAGGGGCACGCCTGTGCACTCACATACACACACACTTATACCCACACAAAAGAACATTTAAGAAGCTCCACTCTACAATCTTATTTAGTGGACTGTTACCCTCTTAACTTTGTGCTGCTGCCTGAAATTGACACAAGCGTTATCAGTTAAATGGGCAGGTTATTTTTGGGGTTACCACATGCATGCACTCTGGGGAGCTGCTCTTCCAGTTTCTGGCATTCCTGTGCATGCAAAGACCAGTTGGCTGGCATGAATGGGCACGCCATAACCCAGAAGAGCAACGGGCGACAGCTGGGGTGCCCGGAGAGATGGCTCTGCGTGCCACTTCCAGCATACATGGCATAGGTTCGCCATCAAGGGCTTAAGGAATGGAAGGCCAGGTGCTTTCTTTGATGTCATTGGCAGTTACTATGGTTGGATTGCTCAACTCTGAATAGTACCATTAGGGAGCTGGGGTTTACTAAGTTTGCAAGGTTTTCACCAGAGAAGCTGGTCTTCAAATCTCTGTCCAAGGCCAACATTCTACATCAATCAGAATAGAACTGATAGGGACCTGGGAGGTCTTCAAGTCCAACCTTTATACAAGAGGGCCATCTTAATGAAAACTATCCGAAGTTCTACCATACTGGGTAAAATCAAAGAAACAAACATGCAATTTTTCATTGGGTAATTTTAACATTAGTCAGGGATAAATACAGAACCTTGAATCCTGCAAAATGAATTTCTTGTTCTCACTGAAGGCAGACTATTTGAAATGCTTCTTTCCAGGTTGGCGAATCCGGAAAAAAGGAATTCCAGGGACATAATTTTGCCAAGAGTATAAAACTTTACTGAATAAACCACATTGGCACAGAAGAACCGAAACCAACTCAGTGTTTCCCAGTGCAAAAGCAAGCTTGGTTTTAATTTCCTCCTTTTCCTTACGGTCCCCCCACCAGTCTAAAGCGCCCATCAATCACTGCTGTTCATTTTGTTATGGGAAACAGCCAGCCACAGCCAGGACATCTGCTTCGTGTGTCCTTGAGAATAGCAGCCATCCCTGCATTCCATCCACCCTCCTCCCTGTTATTGTCAAGCTGCGGCAAAGGGAAAATGTAGGCGAAAGTGTGAATCGGTCTTGGCGGTTTCACTCCATTTGGACTTAACTGCTCTTTCTGAGATAAGCCAATTCGCCATCTGCCTTTCTCTTTTTTTTTTAATATCCGGCTCCCCTTCCCTCTGCATCCCCCCCTCCTCTCCCCTTCCCCTTCCCTCCCGATCTATTTCCTTCCCTTCCTTTCCCTCCCTCCTTTCTCTTCTCCATTCCCTCTCCTGCCTTGCCTTGCCCCACCCTGCATCTTCGTAATCTCTCACCATCTCCATTAGTGCCTTTTCCAATTATGTGCACATGGCCGTAAGGGAGATCTAATGCATTTATAAGATGGAATAGAAGGTACAATTCGAGCTATTGCTGTGTGTAGTAGGGCTGCACCCACTTGGAAAACGATTTGAGGACACATTCTTGGAAACACCATCACAAACCTGAGCAGATTGCACCTCTGTTAGTCATGAAAGAATTTCCTCATCTTTCTGGCTTACGGGAAGCCTTTTTTAAAAAAAACTACGCGTCTTTTTTTTTTTTTTTTTAAGTTTTCAAGTTTCTAAGTTCTATCGTATCTCAAGACTTAAAATGGACACCTCACATCGAAAACGTCATAAAAAAAAAAGCACAACAAAGAATGTTCTTTCTGCGCCAAGTCAGGAAGCTCAAACTGCCCAAAGAGCTGCTGATTAAGTTCTACAGAGGAATTATTGAGTCTGTCATCTGCACCTCTATAACTGTCTGGTTTGGCTCTGCAACCAAACAAATCAGACGGATAATTAGAAGTGCAGAAAAAACAATTGCTACCAACCTGCCTTCCCTTGAGGACCTGTATACTGCATGAGTCAAAAAGAGGGCTGTGAAAGTATCTACAGACCCCTCATATCCTGGACATAAATTGTTTCAACTTCTACCCACAAAACGACGCTATAGGGCACTGCACATCAGAACAATTAGACACAAGGACAGTTTCCCCCCCGAATGCCATCACTCTGCTAAGCAACTACCGTATTTGCCGGCGTATAAGATGACTTTTTTGCCCTGAAAAACATGCCTCCAATTGGGGGGGTC